TATATATATATATATATATATATATATATATATGACCTATGCGGTGGTGGAGTTTAAAGTGGAAAGATAGAAATAAATAGTTCTATAAAGTTGGTATGACTAATTAATTTCATATGAAGGAAGTGTACTTACTAGGTTCCAACGATTCGACTAGTGTCACCTTGAGTTTCTTCAGGTTTAAATAGTCTTGCCATCCCAAAATCTGCAATTTTAGGGTTCATTTCTGCATCTAACAAAACATTACTAGCTTTCATATCACGATGAATTATCCTTAAACGGGAATCTTCATGAAGGTATAAAAGTCCCTTGGCAATGCCTTTAATGATCTTATATCTCTTCTCCCAATCAAGAAGTGTACGTTTAGTTGGATCTACAAGTGTAATCATGAATTAGGGATTATCAACAATATTTACTACAATAAAATTAATGTTTAAAAAAACCGGTTTGAACCAGCCGGTTAGACCGAGAACCGGAAAAGGAAGCGGTTCCACTAGCACCGATTTTATGTCTATTTCTGAAATATAATGAACTGACCGCTTTTTACAAAAGTTCAGTTAAACCGGTTAAATTAAACCAGTTGAACCATTTAAATTAAATAAAAACACGTTGAAATGAATCATTTTTCATAACAAACTTTGGTCTTTTTCACGTCTATTTAGATTTCTTTGAATAAAAACACATGGTAAATATTAAAAAGTTTTTACTGTTTTTGTATGCATCTAAAACTATATTTTGTTTTTGTATTATATTTTATTTTATTTTTTGATATAGGTGGATTGATGTAAAAGTTACAGTTATATGTTTTTAAGATATTTGGATTGGTCTTCAACTTGTATTTATTTGTATTTTTAATGTTTAAAGTTGTGGATGTCTATGTGTGTAGGAAAATAGGAAAATAGATAAAAATTATAGAAACCTCTTGAACCGACAGTGGACCTGGTTAAACTGGTTGAATCGGAAACCGGTCATTATACCGGTTCAACTAAAAAACCGTTTTTAAAACATTGAATAAAATTATAAAATTAATTAAGATCATTTGTTATCTATGTAAAATTGCTCAAAATTAAACTTACCAAATATAAATTGATCAAGACTTGCATTTGGCAAGTACTCGTAAATGAGAAGTCGCTCACTTCCTTCTATACTAAAACCAAGCAGTCTAACCAAATTACGATGTTGAAGCTTTGCAACTAGCAAAACCTCATTCTTGAATTCCACGTCACCTTGCCCGGAATCTCTTCCTAGTCTCTTTACTGCTACTTCCTGTCCATCTTCAAGCTTACCCTATATATGAAAAGATAGCATACATCAACGTCTAAGTAATTACAAGATTCTAATTTTGAAAAATAAGTACAAGATTTTTTTAGGTATATATACCTTGTAAACTACACCAAATCCACCTCGTCCAAGCTTATTCTCTTTTGAGAAATCATTGGTTGCTGCTCTGACTATGCTAAAGTTGTATTGTAGCGCATCAGCAGCACCAATATCCATAGTTCCAGCTAGTATTTGAGGAAGAGAGAGTGGAGATAGGATTAGTTTCAGCATGTTAATGTCATAGTTAATACTACAACATCTTAAACAAGGGTTCTTTTGTTTTTGTCGCAATAATTTTTACAATGTGAAATTAGAACATACTCTCACTATTTTCAGGCTGTTGAAGAGGTGGCGGTGGCATTTGCTTTTTCTTTCTCTTCAGTGCTATGAAGATACATATGGAAGCAATTATTATAGCAGTGCCGACTGCTATAACAATTATTATGACAGTTTGTGTTGTGTTGTTCTTCGATTTCCCTACAAAATATAAAGTATACTTCATCAAAGATTAGTACACTACTACAAAACGAGTAATAGAACCCACTGTATATAACCAGTTTCATAAAAAAAACAGGTTTTATTTAATGCAATTAGTTTTTTAACAACATTTAACCCGATTCCTAATTGGTGAACGGGGCTTTATTTTAAAAAAATTTATACAACCTGGTTCGTTCAAAGCAACCGGAGTTCATGTTCTCCTAAATTTTCATTCCCCGTTTCACCCAAATTTTCATTCCCGCTTCGTTTACTTTTCATTCCGGTTATGTCAAATTTATGTTCCCACCATATAACTCGAAATAATTTTCATTTGAAAACACAACTCATACTCCATTTTTCGTTTAAAGGATTTTCTTGTCTTTGTTTTAAGTGGACACGTGGCATGTCTTATTTAAAATAAAAGGATTTTCATATTATACCACATCCGGGTTTTGGGAAGGCATATAGATAGTCCAGATTTTCGGGCTACTTAATGTTTGGGCTCATGATTTTGGTGAATGTTGGTTCTAAGGAGATGGTACCAGCCCATTTTGTTAAAGGACATTGTCATTGTGAGTCATCTCTTTTTTCTCCTTTCCATAAATCTATTTACAATCTTCAGGGATTTCTTTTGACGCATTTTTATAGTTTTTTTCGCTTCTCCCTTTTCCACAACCTGCTTCTGCATTTCCTTTTTCTCTTTTAATTTAACATTTCGATGATGAAGAAGAAAATGAATAGGAAAAGCTCATTTGGTTTTAATCGTCGTTTGCAGGTGCATTTAGGTGATGTCGATGAGATTCATCTTCTCCGTCTACTGGTTTTCAAGTAATTTGTTTTTTTATCATTCAAATAACATGCTCTTTCACATTTCTCTTCTAATTTCTCTATCTGACAACTTGTAAATTGGAATTAGATGCAATTTTGAGTGTTTTGTTAACATCCAGATGTTCCTTACTTTGTTTAATTTTTTATATGCGATTTGTGACAACTTCAATAAGGAATAATATGGGCTGGCTTTCAGATAGTACAAGTTAATGGTAATCTGAATTAATATTATTCTTAAAATTCCTATTCATAGTAAACAAGAAGAAAGATGATGCACAAAACTTATCCTGAAAGCTGATGTGAGTTTATATATATATATATATATATATATATATATATATATATATATATATATATATAGATGTGTAATTAGCATCTGTTACTATTTTTTATTTAACAACAGCAAGAATGAAAGCGCAACCAAAGGGGTGAATTTTTGAAAATGCAATGCAAAAGAATAAAGGTACAGTGCTATAAAATATTAGATTACAACATTCTTACTTCTTGCAAATTTCATACAACGATGTTAATTATATTATTATGATTTCACAACATGTCATTTCTTTTTTGGTGATATATTTTGAAACGTTATGGTCTGTGTTTGGCTTGGTGCTATTATATGATTATGATTTCTTGTTAGGCTGATGTTTTCTCTATACGGGAAGATTTTGGACCAACTTCTTGATTTTCCTCTTAAAGTCAAATGCGGGAAGAGTAAAAAGAATTAAAACCTAATCAATTATGATTGGCTTTACAAAGGAGAAACAAGAGGATGTCATGCTCAAGTTATTAATTATCTCAAAAAAAAAAGTATCGTTTTTTATTAGATTATTGTGTTTTTAGGGATTTATCATTTATAACTTTACAATTTATTTTTTAGACATTGGCTACTACTCATATGGATGATAAAGAGGTCACAGAGAGTGTGCATAAATGTAAGATTGAAATTAAGAGTTTGTTTTCTTTTAATAGGGTGTTGTTTCAAAAATGGTGGAGGAAATTTGTCAATTAAACTAATCCTTTATGGGTTAAGGTCCAAGCTATTCATAGTTTTCTAGGTGGTTTCAGTTTGAAATATAGTGGTGCTAAAATAGTTGACACGTGAGAATTATGGTTAGTATAAATCATCTTCATGATAAATGTGTTGTTTTCTAGGTTTATTTGAAGAAAAAATCGACAACGTTTCCATGACTTACTTTTAGAAAAATGTTTGGATTGATGATGTTTCATTATGGATTCGATTCTCGAGATTTTTTTTGTTGGACTTTAACGTGCTTGCTAGGGGATAGATTCACTAACGATGAATAGGCTTTGAATTGGCATCGAGTTATAAGGATAGAGCCAAAGTTTCACAACTTTCTAATCTCATTTAACATATTGTTGTACTTCCAGATCAATAGAATGTGTAGTGGTGGGAATTGGCGATTATATGTGATTTAACGGTTAGAGTTACTGGAAGATACATTGATACATTTCTTCTCGAGGCTAAGAATGAGAACATTAGATGAAAAAATAATTTGTTCCCAAAAAGGTGATTATTTGGCATGTAGTTCTTATGGACTCTGTGCCTACCAGGTAAAGGTAAATTGTGGTGCTGATATGGAGTCCATTATGTGTCATTTGTGTCATTGATCATAGTCTCTTTATTTGTCTGTCGCATGTCGACTGTTTGGTTTCTTACTCTGCTGACTAGGCTGGCTGTCGTATGACACATCGATCCACCTCCGGGTTCCGTATTTATCTTGGCGATAATCTTTACTCATGGTCCTCAAAACGTCTAACACGTCGTCTCTTGATTTAGTGTCGAAACTGAGTACATGGGGTAGCTAGTATTGTTGTTGCTAAAGATGTTTGGCTTTGTAATCTGCATCTTGAGTTATCCTGCATCTTTCTCATACGACTGTTGTATTTTGTGACAATTTGAGTGCTATGTATTTAGCATCAAACTCAGTTCAGCACCAAAGAACCAAACATGTGGAGATAGCTAGATTTATATTTTATTAGGGAACGCGTTGTCATTAGTCAGGTTCGCGTGTATATGTTCCGTTTGCTTATCCGTTTGATGGCATGTTTACTAAAAACCTTCATACACAGTTGTTTATTGATTTTCGGAGCAGTTTATAAGTGTCTGAGAACCTCCCACTCAAGGGGAAGTGTTAATTCACATGTTATTTATATAGTGTAGGCTTTTATATATTATTTATAGTATAGGGTCTTTTATGTAAATACTTTGTATTACTTATACTATTTGTGGTAATGGAATACATGACAAACCCTAATGAGTATTTTGACAAAGTCCAACAATTAAAATGTAAATCTATATGTAGCGAAACTAAAATCAATCCTAACATAGAAAAAATCGATTTAAGCAATTTCAATCGTAATTGTTTTAATAGAAAATAAAGGAACTGAATTGGTGCATAACATGTCTTAACTAATATATAGAAAAATCTAACTAGCTAAACTTGTCCTTGACATAATATTTCATTGACCAATGGAAGTCAATGGACCCGAAGGGTCGATCTCAGACAGTCGAGCTGAGCACATTTTCTTCTATTATATAGAATAGCTAGGCGCGCTATCATTATTGCAACGTGGTCCTCGCTTTATTGTTTTCTTATTCATTACATGAGGCACACCATGATATTTATTGTTTTCTTATATCATATCATTTATCGATGTTGTATTTTATATGAATCAAGATAATAGGAAACAAATATAATGCTAATTGAAAATATACATGAAAGAAACAGTACAGTAGCTTGTGTGTGTGTGTTGGGGGGGGGGGGGGGGGGGGG